TCCAGTCCGCCCAGGCCTTTTCCTTAAAGAAAGACTGGTTTACAAAAAGCTGCACAAAGGCCCTGGCCGGTGTGGCTCAGGATAGAGCGTCGGCCTGCGGACTGAAGGGTCCCGGGTTCAATTCCAGTAAAGGGCACAGGCCCAGGTTGCAGGCTCGATCTCCAGTGGGGGACGTGCAGGAGGCAGCCGATCCGTGATTCTCATCATTGATGTTTCTCTCCCTTCCTCTCTGACATCAATGAAAATATATTTTTAAAAAATGTCAGCAAGGGCACCAGGCAGATTCAGCGGAAAAGCCAGGCTTTCCTTTATTTTTTAAATATATTTTATTGATGTCTGTCAGAGAGGAGGGGAGAGAGAGAGAGAGAAAAACAATGATGAGAGGGTGTCACCGTTCGGCTGCCTCTTGCGGGCCCCACATTGGGGACCGGGAATCGAACCGAACCCTGACCTCCTGCTTCATAGGTCAACGCTCAGCCACTGAGCCACCCCAGCCAGGTGCAAGTAGAGGTTTTGAGAAGGCTTTCCAGAGAAGGTGCCATTCATAATGAGGCTGAAGAATGAATTGGATTTATCCAGTCAAAGAGGTGGTTTTAATGAGATTTGAGAGCATTCTTTACACACTTAAAGGAATCTTGTCATTTTTTTACTTTATGTTAATCGGACCCCGGACCCCAGTCTGCAGGGCAACACTGTCCACTGAGCCAAACCAGCCAGGGCTAGACATGCATTTTTAAAAAGAAGAAAAAGTCACCCCTGCCCTGGTCAGTGGCTCACTTGGTTGAGCGCCATCCCGTGCACCAAGAGGTTGCCAGTCGGGGCACATGCCCGGATTGTGGGCTCGATCCCCAGAAGGGGGCACCCAGCAAACCAATGGTGTTCTCCCACTGATGTCTCTCTCTCCCTCTCCCTTCCACTCTGAAATCAATAAAAATATTTCTTAAAAAAGGCAAAATCCTAACAATAACCATGAGCGCCACCGCTCACCATCTATGGCCCCTAACCCTGACCCATCCCAACCCCAGCACTGACCCCAAGGGTGGCCCCCCCGCCCCCGCCCCCGGGGTCCATCCTACCGCCTCTCACAGGGCGTGTCTTCCCGGCTCCTCCTCCGTCTCCCAAACCCAGGAACTGACCCTCCCCACCCAACCCAGTTGAGGATGGAGAGGCCTGGGTGGGGGTGACCACCTGGGGCCCCGCAGGCA